GTGTCTGTGAGCAAATCTTCTAAGGTCTTACATGATGAGAAGTTTTATTATGCCTCACATTTTGGATGCATAGAAATTTTATGTGAAAGCCAGCTGGGGATTTAGCTCAGTGGTACCACTGCCTGCGTCAAAAGGACCTGAGTCCAATCCCCAGTACCAAAAAAAAAAAAGAAAGAAAAAGAAAAAAGAAAGAAATTTTATGTGAATTCACTGTCCTCTTCCTTTAACACTTTCTATAATCTAAGACTTCTGAAGAATTTATATTACAGACTTTTTTCAAAAAGTTCCTTTCCTTTTTCCTCATGGCTAAAATTCCTATTTATCTAAACAGAAGCCCTTCCACACCTACCTTTCAAACTTTGTTTTATCTTTTATTTTGCTCTTTATTTACATTTTGGGTTTCTCAAAAAAAAGAAACCATGTAATATGTATTCTGTGTGCTTGATTTATTTTATTTAACATTATGGTCTGAGGTGTAATCCATTTTCCTACAAATGCCTCAAGTTTATCCTTCATGGCAAAATAGTACTCTGTTGTAAATAAATACCACAATATTTCTACTTGGATCTATGTTACTGTTTGTTTTTTGTTGTTGTTGCTGTTCTTCTTGCATCATACTGTTAATATCATCCATATATTTTTAAAGATATTTATCATGATTACTCTTTTTTTTTTTTTTTTTTTTTTTTTTTTTGAGACAGGGTCTCACTATGTAGTTGAGACTGACCTGGAACTCACTATGTAACAGCCCAAGCTGGTCTCGAACTCACAGTGATCCTCCTGCCTCAGCCTCCCGAGTGCTGGGATTACAGGCATGCGCCACCACGCCTGGCTATCATGATTACTTTTAAATCCCTAGTTAAATTTTTTCAACAGCTCCCCATGACAGAGTATGTAACTAACCTTAGTTCCCTTTCTTTGGTATGGTTATACTACCAGGTAACTAGTCCTACTATAAATTAATGCTCCTTTAGCACATCATCACTCTGTTAATAGGTATGGTGAAAGGGTTAGAGGTCAGGATGTAACTGTATCCAATCTAGTGAAGTCAGGAAAAGGGAGGAAAGAGCCTCAAAACCACTATTATTTATTTTAATTTGCTGATCATTTCATGGGTCACAGTTCACATTTGAACTCGAAGAAGAGCATTGAAAACAGAGTCTTTTAGGTTGAAAACTACCAATCAAGGACTTTGGAGGGAGAGGAAAGAAAAGGTTAAAAAAAATGACCCCCAAAGGGCATCTAGACAAGGCCACACTAGTTTACACCAATGTTCAGAGTACTGCACTGGAAAAAAACAATAAGGCCTGGGCTACTGATGCTCATTTTTGTGGCAAAGACAACACTGTCAGATGTTAGTGGCTTTCCTTCAACCTATTTTCTTCCCACTTTTTCTGGCATCCTTAGTCCCAAGGTTTCTCTCTATATAATTTTTTAGAAATTCTTTACACATAGTTAATTTTGTTTGACGTGCGCTTATGATCCATCATTTTGTTTTGCTTAAGACAGTATATTCTACCACTTTTGGAATAAATACTCAAATAAGAAGGGAAAATACCTCCAAACATCACAGCCCACTCACCCATTAACACCTCAGTTTCCTCTACTTCCCTCACATTCCTCTGGTTTCTTCAGAGTTGATTTAGGGTAAGGGAATCAACAGCTAGGATTAATATGATAGGATATGGAAACAAACCTAGAAACTATGTTCTTTACCTACAGAACTTTTAACTGTAGACTTTTGCTAAACTTGAACCACTCCTAAACTAGCACTGAAGTCTGAGAAAAGCAAATCAATGAAGAGTGTATTATGCTTATAGTATTCATCTCACTCCCAAAAATGATACTCTGAAGTTTGGAAAGTATTAAGTACTTTCCTAATTCTTTCATGGACAGTTGTAATGCTTCTAGCTTCATACATCTGAAAACATTTACAGTGGTACCTTGGCTCACAAACACTTTTGTTTACTATTTGGTTTGTAAACAGAAGCATTTGGTAAAATTTTGTTTTTGTTTGTGAATGCTGCATCAGGTGACAAACATGACTGCAGCTATCTTTTTATACAAACACAAATGTGGCCATTTTCCCCAGAATTCTGGAACAAATTAAGTTCATGAATCAAGGTACCACTGTACCCGCCCCCAACTCTTCATTAACCATGGATCTATAAAGCAATCTATAAAATTCTGGGTAAAATTTTTTTAAAAGTTCTTCTTCTGTAGTTATTTTACTCACCAAGATCACCAACCTGTAAGAATTATTACATGCCCTATTTTCAGTTCTCTAAGACCATGAACAGGTCCTGTCAAACACACAAGTGTAATAATTAGCTTCATGTTGATCTGAAATTATTTTAACAACTGAGAGGTTAGCAAACGGTATCATTTCAGTATTAGACAAAAGGATCTGATGTAGAACTCTAGATTCATTCTCCAAGTAGGGTGAAAAGGAACAGATGGATTTGTGGGGCAGGTGATAGGGTTCACTTAGTAAATGAATTTGGCTGTTCCTTTTAATACGATTCTTAAAAAAGCAAATTCAACCTTAAATTTCATTAAGAAATAAAATATCTAGTACCAAGGAAGAAAGAGTTCAGCTCTGTTCTGTACCATGAGATGCTATCAGAAATTAGGTTTAGTTCTGAGCAACATACCACATGTTCTGGAGGTAAAAAAGATTCTTAATTTTCTACACAATTTTTAGAAACTCTTTATATGGGGCCAATTTTTGTTTGAATTCTGCTTATGACACGTCATTTTCTGTTTTGCTTTACACAGTTATCTTCCACAGAAAATTCCACTTTTTCACTTTTAGACCTATGGTTTGAAATAGGCACCCACTTCATTTTTTTCAGTTGAACGTGCACTGCATCAATGACATTTATTAACCAACACTTTCTCTCTGAACTGATTGCCAGTTTTATCATTTTTAAAGTTACATAATTATATTCAATAGATAATATTCTATAGATAATATTCTATAGAATAGATGATATTCTTTTCTATTGTCTGTTCTTGTGCCCATATCACGTTATTTTGACAGGGAAGGTTGTTGGTAATTTTTGGTATTCAGGACCTTTCCCCTTCTCGTCTCAGTTTCTTATACAGAGGGCACTTCTAGGCACAGATTTCAAGATGTAACTCAATAAAAACTAAAACATGTGTTATGTGTATTTTAAAATGCAGTTAATTCATTTGATATGCAGATCAATTAGATTTCATACAGTGAAAAATAATAGAAGAGTAGAAAAATAATCACATGGAAAAATGTCCTTGTGATGAAACATGGGGCAGGGAGGACTAAAAAGTATGGCAGACAGTGCATCTTGTTTGAGGTAGCTGGAGGGAACTGAGGCATGGGGAGTTAAAATGGAAAAGACTGGTAGGCAAGAATCTGATTAATGGAAAAATACAAAGAAAAGATCCAATAAGAGAAGTACAGGGCCAGGGATTTAGCTCAGTGGTTCCACCACCTGTCTTGCAAGTGCAAGGAATCGAGTTCGATCCCTGATACCAAAGTTGAGAGAGAGAGAGAGAGAGAGAGAGAGAGAGAGAGAGAGACCAAACAAGATGGAATTTGCAAATATTCTACTTGTCCAGTTGCACTATATAGAGATGAAAAACTAATTTGATCATTCTACAATGCTAGGCTGTATAACCAACCCATCAAGCCAAGAACACAGACTGAGCTCAAATGATGTCATGATTTTATGCACTCCATGGCCTACCTTTTGGGTTTTCAGAGATACAAACCCACCCACAAACAGCCAATAGGGATTATAAGCATTCTATGCCTTTACTAGCACTAAAACCCGAACACTATGCTCTCCAATTCCTCTGAAAAATACATTTGAGTCCACTGCTGACTACTGGGAGTAGGAATGCAGCTACCCTTAAGTTTAGCTCTGAAACCCACAAAATGTACTATGAGAAATAAATTTTCATATAAAATAGAGCTAAGAGGCTGCTGATAACTACACATCCAATGTACTATATCAAAAGCAATAAATACAATTTGGAACAAGCTGATAATGAACAACACAAGCTAGCCTATACCACTACAAATCTAGGTACTGCAATATTTCCCTAAAATGAATCTAGAAGAGCCTAAGGATTTTTATTTGAAACAAAGATGAGTAGTACAATAAAATCAGAGGCAAGAGAGCAAATATTTTTTTGAGGGTACATTTCAATGGAAGAATAGCAAGGGAGATGGGGATAAAGAAGCTAAAGAGCCAGGAATTTAGCTCACTGATTCTCTGATTCTGCCACCTGCCTTGCAACGTCCCAAGTTCAATCCCTGGCACCAAAAAAAAAAAAAAAAAAAAAAAAAAAAAAAAGACTATGTACAAGCCATCTTTATTTTCCCTGACTTCTAAATCTGAGAACTGCAAGGGGTATGGGGAAGTATGGAGACAAAAGCACAACAACTATAATGCCAGTAATTGTCAGCATTAACTGAACAGAGAGAAATAAACCTCAATTCATCAAATCAAGTTAAATGGAGAGCCACTGTATACTCCTTCTTGGGTGACCTATTCATCCAAAAGAAGGGAAGATGAATGCTGAGGAGACATAGTTCCAAAAACAGACACATCTTTGTCACAAAACATCCTGAGATAATAAAAGTGAACAGAACCTTCAAGATGCTCCAAATCATAACCTCCTCCCTCACACCAGCAGCACCACCACCTTCACCGCTAAAAATACTAACATTTACCTTTTATACTGTAGTCAGTTCTATAAGGTATCTCTTAATCCTCTAAAGAATCCTAATGAGGTAAGTTACCTTTTTCTCTATTTTATAAATGAAATAAAAAAGATTAGGTGAATGTTCTGTAAATGTTGTATATTTAGGAAATATAAGACCCAGAATCTGAATCCCAAGCAGTCTGATCTAAAAGTTGCTATACTCCTATACTCCTCTCCCAGATTAACAAAAAACAGCAGATCCAGAGAATACACAGGATTGTCTATTTATACAGTATATATTTACATACCTTGTACTGTAAGCTCTGCTTGAGTTTCAATTGTTTCATTTCCATTATCAGCTATACAAAAATAAGTTCCCACATCATCCTCAATGATATCACTGATCTCCAGGCTACCACCTGCCAGCAAGACCAATCTTTCAGAGCTGCACAAAACATATTGAAATATATCAATATGAGCAAAATAATACCTAAGCAACTCTTCACATAAAATAGAGAAACAGTTCAACAGTATTTTTATGGACATGGCTACAAAAGAAGTGACACTAACATAAAAGTATTCAAATTTAATTTAATACCAATTTGCTTTGCTAATAATTTACATGGCTAGCACAAATGCAAGTCAAATATTATAATGAATTTTGACACTTCTAGTTATTCCGAAAAGGATACTACTTTTGTGACCAATTCCATTTTCTTCCACCATCCCTGTTTCCCTACTCTGGCCAGGTTTTTGGAAATTAGGTAAATTTGAAGTCTAGAATCCATGTGAGGCTGATTTCACCAAAGCTGTACCACAATGAGACTACTAACAAAAAGAGAAAATTATGAGAGCAAATGTCAAATAAAAATAGTAAGTCATGGGATGGCTTTCCAATGGTAGCTTGGATAGAAAAGAGAGGAAATGAAGAAGAGAAGGGAAGGAGCAAGACAACTGTCAGAGAGCAGGTCTCTGGGTGTGATACTGGGCAGGAATGAGCTGTCATGTTGATTCTTTTTTTTTGGTACGGAGAATCAAACTCAAGTCCTTGTGCTTGCAAGGCAGGTGGCAGAACCACTGAGCTAAATCCCCGGCCCCAGGAATGAGCCATCAGAATGTTGTTTGTTATCAACACTGCTGTTGATGAATATTGATCCAACTCTAAAGTGTTATGTCTATTTAAAGAAAAATTAATTCTATTAACACTGAGGAAGAAATCAAAAATCAACATTCTAATCAAATTTTTATAAAGTGAACAGATTTAGTTAATTTGGAGAATTACAAACTAAACCAAACATACAGAGGTACCTGAAAGAAAGCAATTCTACAAGTGCATAATTAAAGCTGCCTCTTTAAAAGTCACTTTCAGGGCCAGGGATTTAGCGCATATTAAAAAGCCAAATTATAATCAAAACATTTTTTTGTTGTTGAGTATAGATACAGATAGGTGTGTGACAATATTAAGATTTGGAAGAAAAAGTCAGCTTATGAAAACTCACTTTAGACAGATTTAAAATTAAAATATACACATATACATTTAGCATTGTGTTTGTTACTATATTTAACATTTATGTTGTCTATGAAAGTGATCTTTCTTTTGGTACTGGAGGTTGAACTCAGGACCTTGCTCAGTCATGGTACCATTGAGCTAAATGAGAAATGTATTTGCTTATATTGTTTGAGCAAAGGAAAACACCATTAAAATGCATGTAAAAATTCAAGAAAACTCAGAATGATCAAGACTGGAAATTCTTGCAACAATTTAGGGAAGGAGATCCCAAAACCTTAAGCTAAGTATCCTGAAGCTTCAACAAGAATGAATGGATAATTATCCTGCAATATCTTGAAATCATGTTTTTTCTTTACATACCCTAATCTTCTATAACATAAATATATTTCAAGGATGACAATACAAGCATTATAATGTGTTTAAGTGATCAATTTTTACTGGTCAACAGTTCCAAATAGGTACAGAACAAGTCTTGAGCTAAGACTGAAAAAGACAGTTACCTTTCTATGTTGAGCACCTCCTCATTTTTCATCCATCTAATGGCTGGAGCAGGAAGTCCTGAAGCAACACATGGCAACACTGCACTCTGACCAATGACTCTGACTAAGGAAGAAGGTTGTTTCAAAAATACTAAGTTTGGTGTTTCCTCTGAATCTAAAAGGAATTTAAATAAAAGACAAAGATTAAAAGACAAGCAGTTACTACTTAAATTATGAGGAACTGCTAATTCCTATTTACTTTGTGTCCACAAGTAACATAAGAAAATTCCATTGAAATTAGCAAATATATCTCAAGTAATTTCTTTAAGCAAAGCATTGTGTTAGGGTCTTTATGATAAATTACAGCTCCTGCTTTCTATATGCTTCCTGGTCAAATGAGGGAGATCTGACAAGAACCTGACATGAAGTGAATCTCCTTCACTTTACAAGATAAGAAAATCTAAATGGCACATGAGTGGTATAAATAGTGGAAAGACTAAGCAAGTTCAGGACCCATGGCAACCTCTCCACTCACAGGGATTTAAGAGATCTTCTTTCCTTCCCTGTATCTTTATGTTATTTCTAAAAATCTTTCTGAGTTTCACCTCTTTAATCTCTGTCATCTTTTGATTTCAAAACACAGCAACGATCTTGCTTTCCTCTCTATTTCTGCATCTCCTATTTAGATACTAGAATTAATATGTTTTCACTTTATAGAGTTGTCCTTGTGTGGACATATGAAAAGGCCACACTCTTGTGACTAAAAGATAAAGTTCTCTATTTAACAGGATATTAACTCAGTGTTGACTTTTGAGGGGAAAAAAACAGGCAGAGAACTGTGACTCTTGTCCCAAACTCTTGAAGAAAGATATATAGCCATGGTAACAACCACTAGAACTGGCTTTAAATTTGCCTAGCCAATTACTAATAGTTCTGTAGCCATGGTAATAAGTAAATACCACCTTGACAAATTAATGACAACTCATTTCAGTGAATGTACCTTTGAATGCCAACCAATAAGTGACCAGTTTAGGCTTTAAAGTCAATCAATCAAAAGCAGAGTTGCTCACATTTAAGGCTGACACTAATCTGTTCCCACCTGTGTAACCACCAGAAAAACAGGCCTCTCTGACTGATACCAATCTGCTTTGCCTCTTAACCAACATAACCCAAATCAATGTTCTCTCAGAGACTCTACAGCAGAATATGAATGATAAATATGAAAAAAATCAGGCACCCAGCAGTGGGAATCAAAGATAAAAGGTCATGAAACATCAAAAGTCTAGAGGGACTATGGTATGCTACAAGTGAGCAGAAGCTGTTAAACATGGAGAAAAAAGATACACAAAACCAAGTATGAGAAAAGTCAGTAGATGCACAAAGAGTAAGAAAAAGACTGAAAGAGAAGCTAAGCTTGCATTAAAATGGGAGGACCGTGGAGAGTCAGGCATTCTCACTCGCCAGTTGTCTCCAGAGCTGCAATTAAGAGTTACCACCAGATTCATCCCTTATAAAATTAGCCCAAGTGAGGGGATGCAGTGCAAGACAAAGGTTTGACCCCCCCCTCCAAAAAAAGTGTATAATATTAATTTGATCAAGAATACCATTTATTCGATCTCCGGTACCAAAAACAAAAACAAAAACAAACCACCACTGTTTATGTATACTGAACATACTTCATTAATACATTCACTAAAGAGCAGATCATTCTGGCATACTTCCTTCTTTTTATCCCTGTAAAACACTAAGATTCTTTATGGTGACAGTAATATATCATGCCAAGTATCAAATGCTTATTAAAAAAAACTGTAACAAATGTTACTTATTCATAAACACAAAGCCATCTTCCAAATAAGTTAATACCTGAAAGAACCTTCAATTCAGCTTCATCACTATACTTTGGAGGCCCACCACTTTCAACTATGCAGCGATACAATCCCCCATCTCTTTCAGTCGTATTGCTGATCACCAGTGTCCCACTTGGAAGCTTGATAATTCTATCATCCAGAAGAAGAGGCTGTCTGTTCTGTTCCCACCTGACAAATGGGACCAAGTCTGCATTAACTTCACAATTTAGAACTGCATTATTCCCAGCATACACAGAGGAAGGTTCTGGCTGGCTGGTAAATCTTGGAAGACCTGGACAATAAGGGAAAAGAAGGGGAAAAAATCATTAAATACTACTTTAAAATGTAGTCACGGGGTCTGGGAGCAAGTCAACTCATGTAGCCACAACATATAGTCAATCAGAAGGTCCATGAGTTAGGAAATGTGCTACATACAGGGATACAGAGCAAATAATTAAGTGTGCTAAGGATAACTGGAGTAAGATTCCTCACAGTTGAAAAAGCAAGGTGCAAATATGGAAAAGTACACAGAGTAGAAAAAATTCTATGGTACTTGTCCACAATGAAGGGATTACTAAAGGTATTACAGTTTTACACAACTGTAGATAAACAAATGTAACAGAAAAGTATGAGATATGTATATCTATTACTTATACCTACCCCTTAGATACTACATTTCTTACACATACACACATACACACACTCATACACATTGCCTAGCCCTGGGCCCAGAATCATTCTAGTAGCAATGGGTACATATGGAAACTTTATCTTCATTTCTAAGTATCAATTACCCATTACAACAAGGCAGAGCTTCTTGGAGAAATGACTGATTCTAAGAATGGAATATGCAAAAAATAAGATAAAACTCTTTCTAAAAAAAATGGCTTCTTTATGTGATGAGTTTTATGCCATAAAGCTCATGACACACAGTAAAGAACTATTTCAAGATCAATGGATACACATTAAAAAAAACTGGCTTCAAGAATGAAGAGAGTTTCTTCTGGCTAAATGTGGAATAATAGTATTTCTATTTGTAACCTGCTAAAAAGGATTTAAGCAAGAATCTTCATGGATGGTAAAACTAGTGGGTGAAAATTTATTATTCCCATCTGCTATCCCACCAGTGATACATGTGTGACTGTCCTTTCAGGGAATGGGTTTGTCCCATCCCGTGGTTTGTACCACACTCACACATGTACCACTGGAGCTTCCCGTAGTGAATTGTGAGAGTGTATATTACAAAGTATCAAAATATCTCTTCCCAAAATATTCATTACTAATTAACAACAGTATAAATACGTAACTGTCAGAGGAGAAACAGTTCATAGACTATTTTAATCAAGTAAAATACTGTAAATGTTAACATCACCAGCAACAAAACATCACGGGCTTTCTGATATAATGTACCGAGAACACAACATTACTTCTGTGCTATTCCTCCCAGAAATGCAAAATCTGAATTTATTTATAGGGGAAGATCAAATAAATTAAAAATGAGACAAGGAAAATTTGAAGGCCTAGTGCATATCTAAAGAATTTAAAGAGAAACAACTACTAAGTAATACATGTAACCCTAGACCGACTCAGAAAGGGAAGAGAGGGCAAGTTTTTGCTTTTGTTTTCTGCTATTAAAAAAAGCATTATTGAGACAATGTATGAAATCTAAATTAAATGACTTAATTAGTATTGTACTAAGATTAACTTCCTTCCTGATTTTGGTGGACACCTGTTGTTACTCTGGAGAATGTCCTTGTTTTACGGTCTATATACATCTTTAAGTAAGGATGACAAGGCAACATGCATGCAACTTATTACTGCTCTGAATGGTTCAGAGAAAAGTATTTAGGGGATAAAGCAGATGTGGTAAAATGTAAATAACGGTGATCTGTGTAAAGGTGTAGATTTCTTGATTCTTGGAACTCTAAGTTTAAAATTACTATACTTCAAAATAAAGTGTTAAACAAAAGCTGTGATCATAAGCACTGTATAGACGCCACAGAATGCAGTAGCTGCAAGTGTCAATTCTGGAGTCACATGCCTGAATATGAATTTAACTCCACCTTTCATGGCGCTATGATGCTGGCAAATTCTTTCACCTCTCTCACCTCAGTTCTCCATCATTAAAATGAGAAAATAACAAGTTTCATATATTTGTTAAAAAATTAAATATTTAACATAAGTAATTCATATATAGTACATTGCCTGGTATATAAATACTTAGCTACTATTTTATTTTTATAAGTATATGTTGGCAGTACATGCATCTTACAATCATCTTGGGAAGTTCGTACAGGTATGTAATCAAAATGCTTTTTAAAGACTAAGAAACAAATTATGAGAAACAATTCCAAGTTTTCAAGTTCTATGATGGTGAATTAGTCCAAATATAAATATAAATAATGCACAGGTTTTCTAACCCTACTATAAATTTTTTTCATATTTTTATTTCAAGGTGGTTTTTGAAGGAAAGAAAATAATCCAAATACCTACTTTTAAAAATAGAGAAAACCAAGATTAACATGAAGCATAAAATTGAATAAAGCTGGAGGAAAAGGAATCATAAATAAAACCAAGAACTAGTTCTATTTTTTAAAAGTCAAAAAATATTCACTTCTAAGTTCTCATGAAAATGAATAATTTTTAAAAAGGTAAACCCACAACAACAAATGGGAAATTGTCAAGCAAGAAATTTCAAAAAGTTTCTAAAGAGGAAAAGTAGATGGAGGAACTAGCAACTGTTGTATCAAGGCAAAAAACACAGCAGCTTCTTCTGCTCACAAGAGTGAAGCCAGTTGTCTTGTTGCCTTTGGAGAACTACAAGAAAAAGGCAGTGAGAGTAAAACAAAGAGTCGGCAAGTAGGGATTGACTATGTCTGGATTTAGACCATCGCAGTCCCTCTAAGTCTTTTTTTTTTTTTTTGAGACAGGGTCTCACTTTATAGTTCAGGCTAGCCTTGAACTCACTATGTAGTTCAGGTTGGCCTCAAACTCATGGCAATCCTCCTGCCTCTGCCTCCTGAGTGCTGGGATTACAGACATGAGCCACCATGCCAGACTACCAGTCCCCCGCTACCTTTTGCACAGCCAGACTACTCCTGAAAAGCAGAAATTTCTATTGTGGAGAAATGAGAGACAACCCACAGGGAAAAGCAAAAAAAAAAAGCAGCCTCATATTTAATTCTATAAGCTACATACTGTAAGCTCAAAACTTTCCCTGCTTTCTGAACTTGGAAATTAGTTTCTACTGTTTATAACCCAAAACCTGAAACACGTTTTTAAAAAATTTTTAGAATGGTAATTTGGTAATATCTTTGGAGTGGAGGGCAGTTGAGACAGGGTCATGCTATATAGTTCAGGTTGGCCTCAAACTACTGGCGATCCTCCTGCCTCAGTCTCCCAAGGGATAGGATCACCACACACAGCTCACAATATCTTTTTAAGTTTTATTGAGATATAATTTATATGCCATAAAGTTCAATGCTTAAAACACACAATTTAATGATTTTTTAATATATAAAGTTATATAATCATCCCAATTATCTAATTTCAGAACTTTTTTTATCAGGACACCCTTTCTTTTTATTGAGAGAATATTCCACTGATGAATATACCATATTTTGATTATCCATCACTTGACAGACACTTAGGTTATTTCCACTGGTTGTCAATTATGAATAATGCTATTACAAACCATCATGTGCAGATTGCTGTGTGGCTCTCTCTCTTCATTTTTTTTGACAGATTCCTGGGTAGAACTGCTAGATCATATTTTAACTCTATGGTTAATATTTTAGGAAATGACAAACTAGTATCTTTTTAAATCACACACACACACACACACACACACACACACACACACAAAGGGTATCCTATGAGCTAGCAATCCCAATTCTAGTATTCTATTTTACAGAAATAAAAATTTGCAAAAAGTATTTCAAGATAGTATGCCCCAAAATTTTAACCCATATAAATGTTCAATAAAACGGACTATGAATAAATCACAGTAACTGTATTAAATGCACACACTATTAAAGAGCACTTTGTTCATCACTTAGCTTAGATAAAACTTCCTCTCGGTACCTAAGCCAACAGTGGGTTATATAAAAACTCTCCTATAAAACTCTTGGTAATTACTACAGAATGTATTTCACTGTATTAAAACTGCCTCTTTACTAAGACAGTCAAAAAATGCTTCCTGGAGAACATGAGACTGAGATGAGGAATGAACAAGCCTAGTGAAGAAGAAAAAGAGGAAAAGATAAAGGATAGAAATAATGGGAATAAATGAAAGGAAACTCATACCACATTGTGCTGCCACTGCTAAAACTGGTGAGGGTAGTGATAGTAGGAGTGGGGGTTGAAATGATAAGAAATGAGACTGAAGATGTGGGCATGAGCTCATAAAAGGAATCAAAAGGCTGGTTAAAGTTTATCTATTAAGTTGACAGTGTTACTAAGAAATAGTACTCTGACAGTGTGGAGACTAGATAGAAGAGAAGGATAAAGTGGCAGACAAAAGATACAAGGCTGTCAGGAGAAGTCCAGAAGTCTCAGAGGAGAAAAAGTGGACCAATACAGAAAAATTAGGAGGTAGAATTCATGGATTTAGTGATAGGATGTAGGATAGAGCTTACAGGAAGGAGTCACAAATAAAAGCCTAGATCAGAGATATTTAAGAATATAAATGATAAACAGAAGCCCAACACAAAAGACATTGTAGAGGAAGTCATTATACTAATGTATTTATTACACATATTAAAGAAGTCTTAGCAGATGGACAAGAAGTGAGGGAGGAAAGAAGGGAAGGAGAAAGCAAAGAAAAAAGAAAGGAAAAGAAAAAAATTGCCAAAAGATTTAGGTTTTCTTCCTTTCTTATTTTTCCATCCTTAATCTATGATTATGGCATAATTACAAGGGTTTTATATCATACCCAAATTCAGTATTGAATATATGGCTTCAAAGACAGAAAGTTATCATCTTCTGAATGAATGAACAAACACATTCTGGAGTAAGCTCCAGATCCAAACCCATAATCCTGAAGTGGGAAAGCAGCAGGAGACTGTCTCAGTCAGGTTCCATTCTCTCTTGCCAGCATTTCAGCAAGATGAATAAAAATAGAGGACTTAAAGAAAACTCCCTTTTATACAATATTTCTCTTTATAAAAACTACTTCATCTGGAGCTCAAAGAAATGCTATGAGGAATGCCAGTGTTTATTACAAAACAGAAATGACTTATACAGGAATCACATCATACTGCTCTAAATCCTTAATTTCTCTTGTACTTTCCATCATTATTCAAATAAAGATGTTCCAAAACAGAATGACTCTCTCTCAAAAGCTTTCTGCTTAACATATATACTTTATAGATTTTTAAATAATCTAATTTAATGTCCATTCCTTGACACCAAAAAAAAAAAAAAAAAAAAAAAAAATTAAAAACTTCACTATAAGTTTCACTAAACCCTACTAAATGGTTTTCCTAGGTAGGATAAAAGCCATCAAACTGATTTAAATGTCCTATATAATATCCTCAGCCCTAAGTTAAAAAGAAAAATACAAAAGCTGCTCAATACCTCCGATAGCAACTTTTAAGCCATCAGAGAAGTGGAGAAGTGCTATGCTAGTTTATTCCATACAGTACTGAACAAGTCTTAGTACAGTCTGATACATGTAGTGTATGTTCAATGTCTATCTATCTGTTAAATGATTTGTTGTTACCAATTAAATGAAAACTCAAAAATAATACTGATTTTGTGTGTGTGTGTGTGTGTGTGTGTGTGTGTGTGTGTGTGTGTGTGTCCAGTACTGGAGATTGAAGAAGACAGGACCTCACACATGCTACTCAAGTGCTCTACCACTGAGCTACATTCACACTTCTTTTTCTAAATTGCCTAGGCTGGCCTCAAACTTGCAATACTCTTGCCTCAGTTTCCTGAGTAGCTAGGATTACAGGTATGCACCACTGTGTGTGGCATATTACCTTTTTTTCCTATTTATCCTTGATAAAAATTTGAACAACAAAGTAAATCACTAAACAAAACTTACCCGCTACTGTGAGCTTGGCCGTTCTACTAACAATAGTTCCAAGACTATCAACAGTGGCCACACACTGATAGTAACCTTCATCAGGTTTATTGTGTTTGGAATGCACCACATTGCTAATAAATAAAGATCCATCTGGGAGAAGCTGTCGTCGATCATCTGATATTAAGTTTAAAAAAGTTCCATCCTTTTTCCATTCAATTTTTGGAGAAGGTTCAGAATATGCTGAACAGTTTAATACAACAGAAGAGCCTCTAATCGAGAGTGTATCCACTGGCTCCACCAGAAAATAAAATGGAGTGAATGTCCGAACACTGGCACCTACAAAACCAAAAAGAACAAAATTAAGCAAAACATCCTACTATTTCTGAAAGAAAAGAATTCCAAAAATTATTATCAAATTATTTGTGTTCTTCAGGTTTGGCACATAAATATGTATAATCATCTTACTATGAATGTTTAATAAAACTTCTAAGAAACCAAAACTTGACTCATTTAGAACACACACATACACACATACACACACACACACACACACACAATTTACGTGAGCTCAGCTTGCTAGATTATATCTGATTTTAATTCAAATCCCACAGTTGGATTTAGAAATGCTTAAAATTACTGTATTCAAAGTAAAATTTTATATAGAACAGACACAAAATTGAAATAATTTTTGTTCATATCTTTTTTTTTTTTTTTCTGGTACCAGGGATTGAACTCGGGCCCTTGTGCTTGTGAAGCAGGCAGCAGAACCAGTGAGCTAACTCCTCAACCTTTTGTTCATATATTTTTATGTTTATTGGCTGCCTGTATTCTGCTTATAAATTCACTACTACATGCATTTTCCTAGTAGATTATTCACCCTATTGACTTTGATCTTTGGTCTTAGCTATTATTATGTTTTGCAAATATCCTTTTTTCATTTGATTTTTCATATAACAAAATAAATTTTAAATTATATAAAATTAAATGTGTTACATTTAGAAAGATCTCCCTTCTCCTAGTTATTAAAAAATTAGCCTTGTTTTGTCCTATTAGTTTTATGGTTTAATTTTTTACATTTAACTTTCATCTATAATTTATTTTGAAGTAAACAGCAAAGATGGGATCAGTTTAATCTTTTTGTCTCTCATCAATTCTTTGAACAAAGGAAGAAAAATATTTAAAGAAAACTTTGACTAAAAACTTTCTATCTCAGCCACAGAAAACTTTCCAATATAAGCTTTTTCCAATATAACCTTTTTTCTTGAAAAAGAAATACTGATCAACTTGCCTGTAAACAACTCAAGACACTAATCAGGTATCTCCATCAGGGAAGCCCAGTCCAAAAAAATGACACTAGGACTTCTTTTCAAATACCTAGTTATAATTTATTTAATTATGGATTTAAGGAAAGATGGCACTAATTCTATTATAAAATGTGTGTTCTACATAAATAAATAAATATGAAATATACTAGCAGAGGGAAGAAAGTAATATTCAATTGTTTAAAAGATTCCCAGTACTTATAATAAGCAAATTCCAGTTCTGATCAGACTAACCAATGGGGACTTGGAAAGGAGTTTCAGATCTCCTTTCCCATTTGAGGATTATGAAATGTATTTGTCAAGTCTTAACTCTTGAAAATGATCTTAGGAATCTTTCAAAAGTAACTTGAAGTTACTTTATTTATCATTGCTATTAAAATTTTTACTGTATTAATTTACTGCATACTGAATCAAAATTCAAGCAAAAGGGAAGCACAAATGAGAGATAAACTTTCTATCTTGCCTGTACATGTTTATTATGCCACCTGAGTTTCACACAGGAACTTAAAAGACAAATGTTTTAGACTGGTAGTCAAAATATGAAAATTGTTTTTCATTTTAATAAATATTAACAAAACAAATTTTTTTTAATTAGGACAAAAATTTTCCATTTAAAAAATACCTAAAAAGGGGGCCAGGAATTTAGCTCAGTGGTTCCACTGTCTGCTTTGCAAGCGGCAAGGTCCCGAGTTTGATCCCCGGTACCCCCCCCAAAAAAACCCAAAAGATAATTACACCAATTCAAATGTTTTACAGTTTAACGCTGTCTTCCTTTTATTCCATTTTTCAAATCCATGCTCATTTTCAGCCAATTTGAGCCGAAACATATATATTAGTATGTTCAAAACATTACAATAAAATCATATTCACAGTAAAGCTTATAAATGCCTTTGAAAACCTAGGCATTTCAAAATATTATTAAAAAATGCACTCCTCACTAAGTAGAAGATAGTGTTAAATACTTATGGATGTCATTATTCTCCAGTTGGACAGTGACCTAAGGTAGACTCTTCACTTAAAATCCTTCAAAAGGCTTGTCACTGTCTTTTAAAGTCTAAAGAACTCCTTAAGTGGACCTCCTTGTCTGCCACTGTGTGATTTGCTCTCTCTCCTCATCTCCTCCTTGTCATTCCCCTAACCCCTGTCCTCTTAACACCAGCTGGTCCAGGAACTCCCCAACCCCACAGCTCTCCTAGACCTCCTTCAGGCTCAGCTAAATAGCACTTTCTCACAAGAGTTGGCTTTCCCTGGTGCTCAGACAAGGTTACCTTGCTCAGTTCACCCTGACACAAGCAAGCATGACATACACCCTATCTAAAAACCACGTCAGCTAGGCATGGTGGTGCACACCTGTAATCCCAGCACTCAGGAGGTAGAGGCAAGAGGATCACCATGAATTCAAGGCCAGCCTGGGCTACATAGTGAGTTCAGGGTCAACCTGAATAAGAAGTAAGACCCTGTCCAAAAAAAAAATGTTCTTAATCTTTGAATGTTTGAAATAACTTTTTTTTAAAAAGACAGGGTCTTGCTATGTATTCCATGCTTGCCTTGAGCGCACTAGCCCAGACTGGCTATGAACTTGAAGAGATCCTCCTGCCTCAGCCTTCCAAGTGCTGGGATTTAGGTATACACCACCATGCCCAGTCGGTAACAATTTTTAAGGCAGAGAGATTTCCAAACTTTTTTGGATTCTGGTGTTTATTTTCTCAGTACTTTTTTTTTTAATCACAAAAGAAAAATTCCCTAGGCCAAAACAAATACCTAGCTGTTCCACTTACTTATTTGGTTCAAACAAATATTTATGTCTCAAAAACTCAGTAAGCTTTTGGGGAAAAGAATACATAAACTAAAAAAAAAATTAATTTCATTTAAAAACACTCGCAATTACCTATTATGGGATGTGTGCACCTACTGGGCATTAAAAACTTCTCAAACTTTAAGATTAGACACTGCCATCCATGACTTCTGTTTGCCACTGATTTTTGCATAGTTCTGGCTTTTTATCAAGGCAAACCACCAAATGCCCAGTTTCACAAAGCTATCACAACAGGGAAACAAAGGCAGGCAGCCTAAGCAAACATTAAAAATAACCTGGGCTAGAAGTTTGCACAGTGTCCAAAAGATGTCGCTATGTATCCTATAAAGTGACACCCACCACCACCACCAGGGCTCTGAGGCACCTGGAGGGTAACTATTTGTGAACTGTTGGCTAAAGATCTATCTTTCTGCAATGTTTCTATTCAGTATTCATCTAGTACAGTAAGTGGATAGAATCAATTTCTAACTTACATAATTTCTAAACACATCCACTGGTAAAAGTATTAATGAGACTAAATGTTCCATTCTAACACTAGCCAGTTCAGTGTCTTGACAGTAAAACTCAGTAACAAATAAGGGTTTCATAAATTCAGATGAGTTTTTTTTAATGATATGAAAACTCAAAATAATTCTGTTCACAAAAGAGACTCAAAAATGACCAAGATATGCTAAGTATATATGTACCAATTCCCTAAGATGAATGCATTTACACTTTGCAAATATACACTAATAATTTTTAAAGCTTTAGAATCAAGAATTAGAAACTTTTATAATAAGTTGATAATCTCTGTTGAACCAAATAATAAAATATAAAACTTTAAAAAAAAGAAGAGGAACTTCACTCATCAGTTACAAGTATTTCTAAAACTATGGTCACTACAGTTCAGGGGCAACAGATAAAAAAAGCCATAAAACAGGCTTTAAAGCTTAAAAATAAAAAACATTCATACTCGAAGGCTTAATATATAACAGCAATGACATTTTAAATCAACCTCAAAAAAGAATAAACTAGGGAAAAAATTTTACCACAACAACTGCTTGTTCATATGCGAGAAAAATGAGATGCCTACACAAACATGTAATAATGGTAGACAATTTATGTCTCCATGTACCAGATACTAAAGAGTTTCTAAATATCAACTGCTCATTTAACATTCATTAATATCTTATGAGACAGATCTTAGTATTATTCTATTTTAGGGAAAAACCGAAGTACAAAAATAAGTAAGTTAAGTAACTTGTCAAAGGTCACACGGGAAACAAGAACCAGTTCTAATCTTAACAACAATACTATAATGCCACTGAACACACATATAAAAAATGTGTTCCAGATCTATAAAAAGGTAATAAAAATCTTTGTAAGAAATTTTAAAAGAATACATGAATAACCATGGAGTTAAGCAACCTTTTAAATCAAAATATGGCCAGGTATGGTGGTGCACGCCTATAATCCCAGCACTTGGGAGGCTGAGGGAGGTGGATCACTGTGAGTTCAAGGCCAGGCTGGGCTGCATAATGAGACCCTGTCTCGGGGAAAAAAATAAATCAAAATAGGCCACACACACATTTTTTAATGGCAAAATATAATAATGAAGCAGACAAGCAATGGATTTGGGGAGGAAGTCTCTCACACGTAACATAAAAAAAAAATTAAGAATTTAAACCACTCAATAGAAATATAGGTAAGGCTGTATTCCAATAAAACTTTATAAAAATGGCAGAATGGATCTGATCCATCAACTATAGTTTCATGATCCTTGCCTGCCTGAGAATATTATCCATTAAAAGTATGCTTCAGTCTATCTAGAATTCTGTGAAAAAATGAATAATGCCAATGGGTGTACATTATATAATTTCATATGTATATGATTACATGATCATTGAGAAAAGCTCAAAAGTGTAAATCAGGTTATCACTGGTTCCTGGGAGTAGAAGGGGGGAAAGATAAGGAGGTGAAAATTTCCATGTATATATAAAATAGTTTCATAATGAAAATCAGCATGTTGTTGAACAATATTTTGCTTGGCAAAAAAGATATATCAGAATTTTTTTTAATCAGTTTGTCACAGAAGAGTTATCAGACACTCCATTTAAAAAGTGATCCTGTACTAGGTTCCTGACACCCTGTCCACTTAGTTTGCTTAATATTAGTTTACTACAGCAAGAGTCACTGGACATCTTATTTTGAAATAAGCT